AACTTATGTGTAATAGTAACAAGGGATCATGCAGGAAGTCCATACTTCCTATAACATAGGAGAGGTAGAGTATTCCATATCAAAAAATTATACCCGTCAACAATGTTACAAATCAAACCCAACTAACATCACGTTCTAAAAAGTATTGCTATCATGCAATCTTAAAAATTGAAGGTTCCTCCTTTAAAAATGATAGCATTGCTCATAAGCCAAATGCTCATAAGCCAAATGCTCCAAATAGTCGCTAACCAAGCAATGGCTACTATTGTCCTCTTGATCTTACTTTTCACGTTATTGTAGTAAGTGAAGAACTCTATAAATTCTACCTTAGTCATCAAAAAATAGATGTCTAATCAATCCACAACTTTGCTCCATATTCTATCCGATAAAGTACAATTACCAAAGAGATGCTCTACTGTTTCATCAACTCTACGACAGAAAACACAAGAGGTTTAATCGATAATGTTAAGGGTTGCAATAATGTAGATGAAAATGGTGATAAGATGCATCTTGGAGCAAACATTAGTGTTTTAGCACTCCACGTACCTTGATTGGTGTTCATCTTGGAGCAAACATGAAAAAATTATTTTGTAATCAGGGTCCTACAAGGTTTCCTCGAAGTTGAATATTCTATAAATACGCCTATATCAGCTTTTGCGTCAAATTTTTTGATGTTATCTTTCCTACTAATAAGGATAAAACATTTGCACCCAAAAACATGTAAATGAAAAATATTTGGCTTTCTACCCTTTTTTTAGTTCACAGGGTTTCAACTTAAGAATTGGTATTATGAAGATATGATTCATAACATACCAAGTATTGCTTATTGTATTATCCCATAAGTATTGTGGATGATTTGTCTCAATGAGTTTTGTCCTTGCTAACTCTTCTAGAGATATATTTTCTTCTCCACTATCCTATTTTGTTGGAGAGCCTGGTGAGTGTAAGAAGTGTGCAAAATATTGTTCTTGCTACAGAATTTTTCAAATTCTTCATTTTAGAATTCTCCACTGTGGTCGCTCTTGTTGGATGCAATGCTTACTCCATTTTCGTTCTGCATAACCTTGACAAGTTATCGAAAGGTAACAAACACATCTCTTTTCGTAGATAAAAACAATGTCCAGGTGTAGCAATAGTAGTCATCCACAGCTACAAGGGCCTAGATGTTTCTATTGAGACTCACACACTACTATAAAATGCATAAATAACAACACCATATTTACAGCGGATTCATATGCACTATAGCAATAGGTTAAAAAATTTGTGCCCAGTGAGTTGCTAGATTTATAAACAGTGATTTAATGACGGTTGTCTTTAAATAACATAGTAAAAATTTATGTGTAGCACGCTTCGATTCACAACAATTACATTTTTTAGAGTACATTAAGCGTGTGTTCCTTAAGTCTATTTTTAGAGTACACCAACCGTTGTTAGAGAACTTAAGTTTTCACTACGGTTGCTTTGTCCAACCGCGATTAAAGGGTTTACTGATAAATGAAAACAAAACTTATTTTGTATTTCTTACATTAGACGCCCTAGGCGAACAAGCAATCCAGAGACGACAAAGGTGACGTAATCTTTATCCTCTTCGTATCCATTTATTTGAAGCTCAAATTTTCACAATCTTCACTCATTTGATTCTTCAACTTCGAAGTACGATAGTCTTCAACATCGTCATTCCTTTTTTCTTGGTTTATGTTGTATATGCTCAAATATTCACCCTCTTTGTTCATTATATTCTTCAGCTTCAGAGTACAATACTATTCAACATATTCATTCTTTTTTTCTTGGTTTATGTTGTATATGCTCAAATATTCACCCTCTGTGTTCATTTGATGCTCCAGCTTCAAAGTACGGTACTCTTCAACATCTCCATTCCTTACGTGAATAAGATTCTTCGGCTTCGAAGTATGGTACTCTTCAACATCTTCATTCCTTTTTTCTCTGTTTATGTTGTATATGCTCAAGTTAGTATGAGAGTATATTTTTCATATGATTTAGGTTTATATTTGCATATGCATATGCTTTAGTTTTTGGATTAGATTCTGGTGTGTCATTTACATTATTATACGTGTATAAATTTTATAAGTTGTTATCGATCATAGTTGGATAAAAGCTGATATATTAGGTTCGGTTTATGAGAAAGGAGTTCTTGAATTCCTGGAATACGTTGATAAACATCTTCCTGACAATAATGGTATATTTTATTGTCTTTGTGTTGTTTGCGCAAATATCAATAAGGGTACAAAGAAAGCAATACTTCAGCACCTTTGTTGTGATGGTATATTTGGTGAGATGGATAAAGAAGAAAGTCGAGTGTCACAAAGTCAAAGAGTTGATGAAGATGAGTATATGGAGGATAGCCTAAAGGATATGTTTTGTGATATTGGGGAATATTCTTTTAAGAACGCTCATATTTATGATACCTTATGTAGTGATAAAGACACCTCTTTCACTATAAAAAAAATGCATAAATTATGGCGTTTTTATCACGACGTTTATTAAAACCTCCATTTTTTATTGTACATTACGACAAGGTAATGTTAATCCTAAAATGTCGGTTTTAAATGTTGTTATTAACTTAACTTTTATAAATAAATTCAATTTACATAAGCATGTTCTCCTTTCGGTTTTTCCTCCTCTACGTAACCGAGTTCAATCCTTATTTTATTTTTTTTAATTCTCTCTCTTTTTAAAAAAAATAATTTTAACTCTTTTTTTTTTCGAACTTCTCCATTTATTTTATTTTTTATTTTTTCTAATATAAGAAAACAAATACCTCAACCCTAATTTCCCTAATTTGTTGTTCTTCATTTTGAATCCACTTTTCACTACGCCAAAAATGATTTTTTGTATCACCTAATTTAATAGCACTTTTAAAAAAAATGCTATTAAAATGGAAAAAAACACATTTATAATAGCACTTTTTAATCGGGCGCTATTATATAATACAGACTATGTAATTATGATAGCACTTTGTACCATAACGCTATTATTAAACTTCTTTAAGATAGCATTTTGTATAAAACGCTATTATTTGACTACCTATATAATTGCATTTATTAAAAAGCGCTATGTTATATATAATAATGAATTAATTAATTAATTGATAAAAAAAAAAACAAAACACATTTTCAGAAAGTTATTTCAATTAGAAACCGAAACAAAATAAAAAAACACAGGAAGGAGAAAAGTCATTCCAAATCCATTACTTGACTGGCCTCCGACGACACGCCGGCGACCGCGAGCGACAACTCAACTGCTTCTGCAACAGCACAATATCGACGCACTCCGGCCCCCTGTAGCATCACCGGCAGCTACCACTGGGCGTTCGACTCCGACCTCCATCTCCAGCCACTCTCGGTTTTGCTTGCAGGTAAGCAATTTTTTTCCTCTATTTTCTCGATTTGTTGTCATTGTTGTTGGAGAACTTAAATGCTTGATTTGAATCTTGGATTTCTATTTTGTTGTTGTTCTTATTTTAAGAGAAAGATTGATTTTGTTTTGGGGTTGAAATGGATGAGAGATAGAAAAAACCATGGTTATTGTTCTGCAAGTTGTGGTCTTTTGTGAGAGAGAGTAAGAAGAAGAAGTATCACTGTCTAGAAAGAAAAGTATCACTGTTCAGGAGAATGCATTCGATGGGAATGCAGGAGGATGAGTATACTTACACTAGTTTGATTAGTGCGTGTGCTTCTGGTAATGTGAGGAGGGGGATGTTCAATTATGGAAGACAGGTGCATGGTTATATTCTCAGGACAGTGGTGGGGCCATCACAGCATTTTGTTTTGTCTGTTAGCAATGCTTTGATTACTTTCTACACTAAGTACGGTAGGATGGTGGAGGCGAGGCGAGTCTTTGATAGAATGCCTGTGAAAGATATTGTTTCCTGGAATGCTGTTTTGTCGGGGTTTGTCAATGCACGACGTATTGAGGAAGCTAACTCTATTTTCAGGGAGATGCCAGAGAGGAACGTGTTGACTTGGACAGTGATGATATCTGGTTTGGCGCAAAATGGTTTTGGAGAAGAAGGTTTGAAGCTGTTCAACCAGATGAAGTCAGAGGGATTAGAACCTTGTGATTATGCTTACGCTGGGGCGATTACATCTTGTGTTGTTCTTGGGTCGTTGGACAATGGACAACAAATTCATTCTCAGGTAATTCGATTGGGTCATGATTCAGGCCTCTCCACCGGCAATGCGCTGATTACCATGTATGCGAGGTGTGGTGTTGTTGAATCTGCTGAATCCGTGTTTCTCACAATGCCTTATGTGGATTCAGTATCTTGGAATGCCATGATTGCAGCTCTTGCACAACATGGACACGGTGTCCAAGCCATTGAGCTTTTTGAACAGATGTTGAAGGAAGATATATTGCCTGATAGGATAACTTTCCTCACAATTCTTACTGCTTGCAACCATGCAGGCTTGGTCAAAGAGGCACACCATTATTTTGATACGATGTGCACTCATTATGGTATAACCCCAGGAGAGGATCATTATGCCCGTTTGATTGATTTGTTGTGTCGTGCGGGTATGTTCTCAGAAGCAAAGAGTGTAATCAAATCAATGCCTTTTGAGCCCGGTGCGCCAATTTGGGAAGCGTTTCTTGCTGGTTGTCGGATTCACGGAAACATTGAGTTGGGCATTCAAGCTGCTATGTGTGAGCTATTTTCTAATATAGTTTTTTTAATGTATTTGGTTCATGTTCTTTTTTTATTATTTTGCAGGATTATTTATTTCTTTGAATCAAGTATTTCCTTTGCATTTTTCTAATGGATTTTCTGTTAACACATGAGGAAAACTTACAGGGCTGATAGGTTTATTGAGGTGAACCCGAACTACCTCTTTTTTTGATTTTGAATCTTGACATCAATCCTTCAGATTTTATGAGTTTTCCCATTTATGCTTTTTAATAATATAACCTCTTCTTTATTCAGTCTATAATATTTAGACTTAGCATCATTAAACTGATCTCGAAGCTGCTTCAATTTTTCCTCCATGTCAGATTCTTCAGTCTGGGTAGTTTTCAAATGTTGCTCGTGAGTATCCTGCATTTGTAGTTCCATACTTTTAAGTTGTTGTACCAACTTCTGTATATGTTACTAGTTTTGCAAATACAATCTCGTTGTAGTTCAAATACTGACTTTGATTTGTGCCAAATATGTGTGTATGTGTAGGCTAGTAGTGTATTGACTCGTAAGTTATGACATGACAAATGATGCTGGTTCTCTTAGGTAGCAAATGTATATGATTTATATGGTATTAGGCAAATAGACGTATGGCTATGGCCTGAATTTTGCATTGATTTTTCTGCTCAATTTTCTCTGCCTTGGAATGTATGCTTATGTTGAAAGATGTCTTGTATGTTGATGCATACTTGAATCCCAACATGCCTTTGAATTTGATTATGCTTTTATAATTTTGGGTGGCTAATAATGTGTGACTACCTATAAAATGTTGAAATTTGCATTGCTATGCAGATGAAGATCCAGGATGCACGTTCAATGGTTACACTTTTCTTTATGAGTTTGTGGCCTATTTGGTTCAATTTGGCACATGTATTTGTGATGTAACTAGTTTATGTAGGTAATAAATAGTGTGGTTTTTTGAATTGTGAAGTGGTTCATGGTGCAGGTTTGAGCACCGAATGTGCAGATCTTCTGTAGGTATGTGTGTATGCGATGACCTTAGTGTGAAGTTTGAGTATTTCCGTAACATACTTGATGATGATGTTGTTGTAGTGAACGTGTGTGAGGCTTATGATCTATCAATTCTGTAGGTGGCGGATGATCATGGCCTTAACTACAAGATACCTTTGGTAATGGTGTGGTTCAATGTAAATTTTCACTACAACAAAACTATTAATGGCGTTCGAATGGAAATCTAATAGCAATGCACCGAATGTTGTTGATGGTTTTTTTTGTAGTGTCCTCGTCAAATTAATGGCGTTGATTGTGGATACTTTGTAATGCGATTTATGAAAGAGGTCATCATGGAAAATGAATTTATGATCCCCACAAATGTACGTGATTTTAATTATTATTATTATTCTTTTGTAAATTAAATTAATATAATTTAATTCTAACACGATTAATTGTTGATGTTTTCATATTTGAAGTACTTTTTTGACCACAAATGTCGTACCTACTCTCATGATAAGTTAACTGAGGTTAAGGAGGATTGGGCTACTTATGTGGTGGATGATGTTTTCGGTGAGTTTTTCCTTGACTTGATACTTGATAAACAAGACAAATATTACTCATGGATTTAGAGTTCAAATGTTTTGACTTAGATGTTTAATTTTAATTTTTGAGTTGGATTTAGAGTTGTCGTATAAATGATTTTAGTATTTTATTGGTTTAGAAGATATGGCACAGAGGTACTGAGTGTTCTTTCTTGGTCTCGAATTTAAATTTTGAAATAGGAAAATACGGAAAAATGACTTATATCTTATTGTATGATTGATTTATAGTTTTCCGTTTCTACTTGAAATTTTTAGATATTCGTAGTAACAATTGTAAGGTGTTTGATATCTAGTTCTGGATCATGAAAAGAAAGTTACACACAATTAAGTGTTTATGTATATTTTGAGAATTTGAATTATATTCTGTTTAGTGTTTATATGCATCTAATAATGGAAATTGTGGTCTATATATTTACAAGTCATGTTCTTGTTAGACTTAATTAGTTCAATTATTGCATTAGTTATATCGATTTATTGTTATTAGTTTATAATAATCATTCCTTATTTTATGCGCTTCTTGTTAGACCCATATTAAATGTTTGATTGTTCTTTATATGTTGAATTAGTTTTTATTGTACAATACATAATCAATATTCCTTCTATGATACAGGAAAACAAGAAGCAATTATTTTGCCTAATTAGTGATTGTATCTATGAGTTCAACGCTTTTGGATCATGAAGGTGGTTACTACATGGGATTGTTTTGTTATCCTTTCTTATTTTTTTGGTGTTTTGTTTAGAGAATTTGATTGTATGTTTTTGGATTTGGATTGAAGTACTCATAGATGGGCATCTACAAATTTGGCTATGCAAACGCCCTCTTAATATTCTATATGTTATGATATTTGGAAACAATAGGATTTGGTAATTTAAAATGTTATTTGGTATTTGATGGATCATAATATATATGCAATGAGTAACTTAAAGCGTTATTTGTGTTGAATTGAATATAGTTATTTTATATTTACACAAAAAAAAAATGATTGTGTAAGAAAAAATATTGTACTGTACTTATTAAAAATATTGTACCAAATATGTACCATTTATTAGCACTTTATTTGAAAGCGCTATCAAACATATGTTATATATTAGCGCTTTTTGTTTAGAGTGCTATAAAAAAACAAACAAAAAACATGCAAAATACTGACTTTGATAGCACTTTAATTAAAACGCTATTATAAATTGGTACTTTAATAGCGCTTTTAAAGTGCTATTAAATAAGAAATATTTACAATAGTGGCGCGGTTAATAGCACTTTTAAGCGCTATCAAAAACAAAAAAAAAGCGCTATTAAATAGCTTATTTGGCGTAGTGTTTATTCTTCTTCATCCATCATCTATATCCTTAACTTCAATGAATTTTCGCCAATTTTTCATATCTGGATCTCTATAGCACGTTTCTCGCTCACCCTCCCTAGGGCACGTTCACACTCGCCTTCATCCACGGTCTGTTACAGAGCCTCTCTCTGATTCTTATTTCTTCATTAACAGGTATATCTTTTGCGTGGAAGTGAATGTAGACACCTTATGTCGTCATAATTGTTTTTGCCATCTTCATTAGGTTGTCTTCCTCTAAAGTTGTGTTTCTGCCATTGCTAGGCTTTTCACTTATCAAATTCAACTCCATCTAACTTCCACTAAAGGTACACTATTTTCAATATTTATTTCGATTTCATATTTGTTATGACGTTTTGTTGATTCAAGATTTTGATGAAAACTAGTTGAAGAAATCATAAACGTCTAGCAATTGATGACAAACTTCCATAATTTTTCATCAAGGTAATTTTATTTAATTAATTCTGCCAAGGTTAATATTTTGCGTTTTGGCGCTGTGAAATCACAATGTTTTGGTGCTATTTTTTATGTGTATGAAATTGATCCTGATAATTTGAATGTTTTCGTGTTATGTTGTGTATAAAGTCATAGGAACTTGGTGTTTATTTTGATTGTTAATGAGATGAATTAGCTATTGTATTGTCTTTGATAAGTGGCATTAGTATAACCATAACTTAATCTCCAATAGAAATAATCGATGAAAACGAGTGAAGTTTTTTTTACTCTCTCTACAAATACTTACATATCTTTGCTTTATTATGTTTTGTTTTAGGGTTTCCTCAATTCCTATGTATTAAAAACTATATATATTATGGTTAAATGCACAATTCCCTCTATAATATAGGCCAGATTTATTTTACCTCCTTAAATTTAAAAATACTAAGTTTTTTGACTCTTAAATACAAAAATTATCTTTTGTAACTTTTATTTTTTATTTACTCTCCAGATTCAATGTTAAAATGATACAATTTAATAGATAATTAAAAAAAATATTACAGAAGTTATTCCAAAAATAAATAAATTATAGGGGTAAACCAAAATTCCCCTATATTGCATGGGAAATTTGGCATTTAACCCTATAAATTGTTGTCTAGTAATTTGAAGTGAATTATTTTTCTAAGTCCTAACTATATATTTTTTGTCTTCCATTCTTTTAAGTTTTCCTAGTTATTTCACACATTAGTTTAAACTTCTATGATATACTATTGTTCAGTTAACTTTTATATCAATTATTGATGTGTGAACTCTAATTTTTGTTCTAATATTTCTCGCCGTAACACTCATTGTTAAAGCATTTGTACCTTCTCCACTCACACAATCATTGATGCCACAGTAAGTCCATACTTCCTATAACATAGGAGATCAAAAAATTATACCCGTCAACAATGTTACAAATCAAACCCAACTAACATCACGTTCTAAAAAGTATTGCTGTCATGCAATCTTAAAAATTGAAGGTTCCTCCTTTAAAAATGATAGCATTGCTCATAAGCCAAATGCTCCAAATAGTCGCTAACCAAGCAATGGCTACTATTGTCCTCTTGATCTTACTTTTCACGTTATTGTAGTAAGTGAAGAACTCTATAAATTCTACCTTAGTCATCAAAAAATAGATGTCTAATCAATCCACAACTTTGCTCCATATTCTATCCGATAAAGTACAATTACCAAAGAGATGCTCTACTGTTTCATCAACTCTACGACAGAAAACACAAGAGGTTTAATCGATAATGTTAAGGGTTGCAATAATGTAGATGAAAATGGTGATAAGATGCATCTTGGAGCAAACATTAGTGTTTTAGCACTCCACGTACCTTGATTGGTTGTTCATCTTGGAGCAAACATGAAAAAATTATTTTGTAATCAGGGTCCTACAAGGTTTCCTCGAAATTGAATATTCTATAAATATGCCTATATCAGCTTTTGTGTCAAATTTTTTGATGTTATCTTTCCTATTAATAAGGATAAAACATTTGCACCCAAAAACATGTAAATGAAAAATATTTGGCTTTCTACCCTTTTTTCAGTTCACAGGGTTTCAACTTAAGAATTGGTATTATGAAGATATGATTCATAACATACCAAGTATTGCTTATTGTATTATCCCATAAGTATTGTGGATGATTTGTCTCAATGAGTTTTGTCCTTGCTAACTCTTCTAGAGATATATTTTCTTCTCCACTATCCTATTTTGTTGGAGAGCCTGGTGAGTGTAAGAAGTGTGCAAAATATTGTTCTTGCTACAGAATTTTTCAAATTCTTCATTTTAGAATTCTCCACTATGGTCGCTCTTGTTGGATGCAATGCTTACTCCATTTTCGTTCTGCATAACCTTGACAAGTTATCGAAAGGTAACAAACACATCTCTTTTCGTAGATAAAAACAATGTCCAGGTGTAGCAATAGTAGTCATCCACAGCTACAAGGGCCTAGATGTTTCTATTGAGACTCACACACTACTATAAAATGCATAAATAACAACACCATATTTACAGCGGATTCATATGCACTATAGCAATAGGTTAAAAAATTTGTGCCCAGTGAGTTGCTAGATTTATAAACAGTGATTTAATGACGGTTGTCTTTAAATAACATAGTAAAAATTTATGTGTAGCTCGCTTCGATTCACAACAACTACATTTTTAGAGTACATTAAGCGTGTGTTCCTTAAGTCTATTTTTAGAGTACACCAACCGTTGTTAGAGAACTTAAGTTTTCACTACGGTTGCTTTGTCCAACCGCGATTAAAGGGTTTACTGATAAATGAAAACAAAACTTATTTTGTATTTCTTACATTAGACGCCCTAGGCGAACAAGCGATCCAGAGACGACAAAGGTGACGTAATCTTTATCCTCTTCGTATCCATTCATTTGGAGCTCAAATTTTCATAATCTTCACTCATTTGATTCTTCAACTTCGAAGTACGATAGTCTTCAACATCGTCATTCCTTTTTTCTTGGTTTATGTTGTATATGCTCAAATATTCACCCTCTTTGTTCATTATATTCTTCAGCTTCAGAGTACAGTACTATTCAACATATTCATTCTTTTTTTCTTGGTTTATGTTGTATATGCTCAAATATTCACCCTCTGTGTTCATTTGATGCTCCAGCTTCAAAGTACGGTACTCTTCAACATCTCCATTCCTTACGTGAATAAGATTCTTCGGCTTCGAAGTATGGTACTCTTCAACATCTTCATTCCTTTTTTCTCTGTTTATGTTGTATATGCTCAAGTCAGTATGAGAGTATATTTTTCATATGCTTTAGGTTTATATTTGCATATGCATATGCTTTAGTTTTTGGATTAGATTTTGGTGTGTCATTTACATTATTATACGTGTATAAATTTTATAAGTTGTTATCGATCATAGTTGGATAAAAGCCGATATATTAGGTTCGGTTTATGAGAAAGGAGTTCTTGAATTCCTGGAATACGTTGATAAACATCTTCCTGACAATAATGGTATATTTTATTGTCTTTGTGTTGTTTGCGCAAATATCAATAAGGGTACAAAGAAAGCAATACCTCAGCACCTTTGTTGTGATGGTATATTTGGTGAGATGGATAAAGAAGAAAGTCGAGTGTCACAAAGTCAAAGAGTTGATGAAGATGAGTATATGGAGGATAGCCTAAAGGATATGTTTTGTGATATTGGGGAATATTCTTTTAAGAACGCTCATATTTATGATA